TCCCTCTCCCTCTCCCAAAATAAATAAACTTTAAAAAAAGGGGATATATATTCTTTCTTATTTGTCAATAAAAATTAAAAAAGAAAGGTGATTAAGAGTACTAAAATAACAGGAAAAGCCATGTACTATATGAAAAGAACTTATACGGTCCTTTGGGGAAGACCAGTGAATCCTTTTAATTCAGTCATAGATGATTGCTGCTTCACTGAGAAATTTGAAGGTATGAGTATTCTGTGAGTATTTTCAAAGTAGAAAAAGTGACAATGGCAACATTAAAATGAAGAATTAGCTAAATTTACAGTAATGAGATTGTCATGAGTATTGAGTGAGCTGTTATTTTAAAAGGTTATTTTAAAAGCTGTTATTTGAAAAATTTTAAGGTAATTCTTTTTGTTTTGTTTTGCAGAATATATTCTAAATTCCATCAAAAAAGAATGGAAGAACTAACTGAAGTTGGTCTTCAGAACTTTTTCATCCTTTTTCTACTCTTAGCAGCTGTTGCAGAAGTGGAAGATGTAGCAGGTCATGTGTTAGGCCTCCTGAATTTCCTCAAGCCTTCCTTTATAACATCTCCTCTCATTTGGAAGGGTCAAGTGGCCTTCCTCTTGATGTATATCCAGAAAAATCTGGACATTGGTGTTTTGGCTGAGAAATTTTCAGGTGCTTTTCGAGAGAAAGCAAAAGAATTCTTGGTATCTAAGAATGATGAAATGGGACAAAGACAGACTCTCTGGACCCTTCTTTCCATCTATATTGATGGTGTTCAAGAAGTGTTTGAGACTAGCCATTGCTTGCATCCTTCCCATGAAAAACTGCTTAATGATGGATTCAGTATGCTTCTGCGAGCTTGTCAAGAATCTGAACTTAGGATCGTGTTGAGCTTTCTACAAGCTGTTCTGGCCAGAATCAGGTACGTTTTCCAGTAAATATTCTAATTTATTGATTTATGTCATCATCTATGTTGATTCTATATTAAAATTTTCCTTTCGATACACTCATGAAATCCAAATGGAGAGAGAAGAGTTGGTTTTACTGCTATGTTGGCATAAGTAGTTTCCAAACTGTTACTTTGAACAGTAATTCTTTAAAAAGAAAGTTTATGTGCTAACACATAAAACTAAACTCCGAGCAGCTCTGGTGCAGTCCCCGAACTGCTTCTTTGCCCCTCCTTCCCTTTTTACCTTTGCTAAAGGAATAGTATTATCCAAAGGAATGTTTCAGATAGTCTAAACAAGATCATGAGCTCAAATCTAAGGTGGCTTCTACTGAAACATTTGCATTTTGTGCCCTTAAGAAGAGTTTGACCACCCTGTACCATTAAAAAAAAAGGTAAGCTTCTTTAAATTATTTTGCTGCAGAGTTCTAACCTCAACTGCATGAAATACTTCCAGGTAAAACAATTTATTCTGAGATTAAAATAAGATTTTTCTGTTGATAACACCAATCACCCATATAAAACAATGTTTTCAGATCCACTTAAATACTGCTTTCGTTTTACTCCACAGAAGTAACATCGTTTCTCATAGAATCTTCCAGATTTTTTTCTTCTCATTTATAGGCTAAAAACACAAAACAGATGATCTTTGTTCTGCACCTGCCTTTTTTCACTTAATATTTCTTTTTTTTTTTTCTTCAGATCGAATAAATCTTTCGCCTTTCACTTAATATTTCTTTGGCAGCTTTCCATGTTAGTAGATGGATACCCATCTAATTCTTTTTAATGGCTACTTAGTGTTTCATTATATGGTTGTACCAAACTTTGTTTAACGAATACCATAATAATGTCAATTTATATTGTTTACCACTTTGTTATTTTAAACAGTTTTATTTAACATCTTTATATGTGCCTTCTCTGTGTACTTGTGGAAGAATAGATTAATTTCTAAAAATGAATTGGTCTATGTACATTTATTTTTTTTTTTTTTTTCAACGTTTATTTATTTTTGGGACAGAGAGAGACAGAGCATGAACGGGGGAGGGGCAGAGAGAGAGGGAGACACAGAATCGGAAACAGGCTCCAGGCTCTGAGCCATCAGCCCAGAGCCCGACGCGGGGCTCGAACTCACGGACCGCGAGATTGTGACCTGGCTGAAGTCGGACGCTTAACCGACTGCGCCACCCAGGCGCCCCTATGTACATTTAAATGTAGATAGATGATACCAGATTTTCTACCCCCCCAAAAAAAAAAACAAAAAAAAAAAAACGTGCCAACTTTTACACTCCCTAATAGTATATGAGAAAGCCTCCTTTCTCATTTTTAGATTAGCATATGGAGTATATTTAGAAAATATGCATTCTCAGATAAGAAATTAAATGCAGAAGTTTGTAAAAATGTTAATGGAAACTTGGTAATCGGAGAATGGGACTAATTTCAAAAGTTGGAGAGGCTTTAAAAATGTAAATAAAAGTAAGAAAGTAAGAAATTTCTTCTTTATTTCTTTTTTGTTCACTAACTTCTTTTTGTCTTTAAGCTCCTACCTAGGACTTTTTTGGTTATTCTTTAAAAATGATAATTAGAAACACAAGAATAATTGTTGTATTCTTGAAAGACATACAGTATACAAATACTGTACTCATTTATTTCTTTGCCAACCTTGTCCTGCCTGTTTATAGATGAAGAAATGGAAACATGGACTTTTTGTGACTTACTAAAATAGGTTTCAGTATCACCACTCAGACTCTAACCAATCACAGCTACCTTCTTACATTACCGTTGTTAAAGTTTACAAATAACTAAACAGAAACTAACCAAACCATTATATATATATTTATAAATCATAAGCAGTTAAATGATTTGCAAACTGTAAACCTTGAAGTGTTACCTATTCATATATATTTATGAGTGCTTTTAGCTGTTATTTTTGCTACTAAAAAAAAGGGATAGTGCTTTTTGTTCAGTTTGTTTTTATGTTTTTACAAGTTACATATTTTTTAAATGAGTCATCAGATGGAAAAAATGATCACAAAGAGGTGTGGAGACAAGTAAATCATGTTTTATTTGCAGTAATTAAAAATTTTTCTTAATGTTTATTTATTTTTGAGAGAGTGAGACAGAGTGTGAGTGGGGGAAGGCCAGAGAGAGGGAGACACAGAATCTGAAGCAGGCCCAGGCTCTGAGCTGTCAGCACAGAGCCTGATGTGGGACTCAAACCACGAACCATGAGAACATGACCTGAGCTGAAGTCAGACACCTAACAGACTGAGCCACCCAGACGCCCCTATTTGCAGTAATTTATCTTTGATTTATTATCAACATTATTCCATCTAAATTTCATTTCTTATAATAAAAACAAATTTTTGCTCTTTAAATTCAATTTAGTAAAAATCCTTTAGTATTAAAGCCAAAACTATTTCAAAATGTTGGAAAAATTCTGCTTGCAAGTATCTTATAAACTGTAATGCATCTCTGGTAATCATGGGCATTACTAGTCAAGTACAAAGGTAGGAATCGAGGGTGCATGTTGAAGATTATTGATTATATAAGGTGAAAGCAAGTGTACATTTATATTATGTTTCTTTTAACTAGATCTCCTTTGGGTTTGTAGTCTGCTGTCATCTAAACCAAGGCCGTTGATCTGTAGGACTAACCTATGAAAAAGACACAAATATATTTATGTTGATAACAGTTAATTCCTTGCACACATACCTACTTTTAGTTTTGTTTTATAATGCTCAACTATGATTAAAAACAGTTGCTGTAAGTGACTGTGTAATCATATATCACTTCCGTTGCCATAATTGTAGAGCATTTTTAGCAGAGAGAAGAATGAGGTCAATGTGTTTGAGTAACAGTGAGTGGAGCATGCAGCTCCTGGGAGGCTCAGTCAGTTCAGTGTCTGATTCTTGATTTCGGTTCAGGTCATGATCTTACAATTTGTAGGATTGGGTCCTATGCTGACAGTGCAGAGCCTGGTTGAGATTCTCTCACTCCCTCTCTCTTTGCCCCTCCCCCACTCACATTTTCTCTCAAAATAAATATTAAAAAAAAAAGTGCAGTAGTGTGGGGAATCTTCATTAAAGCTGTCATCATGTAGGTACTACCATCTTTTAATTTTCTGAAGCTTGCATTGTAATTTGCACACAGTTCTTCAGTGAGACTGATTAAAGTATATAATAAGAGGGACTGTGACTTGGATGGTTTTGTTTTATTTCATCAGTTTTAGAGCTTCCAAGGCAGATACCCTGAAGATGGACAGGCTTTTAGTTTCGGATCTTTGGGGAAAGAACCCCAGAGATCATTCAGGATTGTTAACTTGAAAGAAGAAAGGGAGGCAGAGAGGGGAAACACAAGAAAAAGTCCTTTAGATATTTGATCATAGAGATGTGTTTGTTCCTACTTTCTTAATCCAAAATCTGGAACTTCTCTGAGGATCTTTTCATAGGAGCCTCCTAGGTATGCTATAATATTAGTATTACTTTTAATATTATTAAAAGGTTCAAAAATGTTTTGATAGTTGATAAAAACTAAAGCATAGGCTCCCCGCCCCCCTTTTAAGAACAGAGCTAAATTCTTTGAATTTTGGTTTAGATAAGGAAGATGGGTTACATAGATTGATGATATTTATTCCTGGCTGCATCCCTGACAAGAAAAAGAATGAAATACTTTACCTTAGCAATCTCTTCTGTTTTCAAATTCAGGTGGGAATAAGGTACCAGACCTTGCATAAATGTGTGTGCAGGATGTGTGAGTGTGTATGTTGAACTGGGTAATAGTTTTATAACTGTATGACAGAGAAATTATAGGTAGGAAGGAACGAAGATCACTGATTAAAGGGAGAAGCGGCTCCCTCTAGGCTGTTAAGAAATAATAACTTCATATGCCACTTTCTGCTAACTGGAGCTGATGGCTCACCAGAGCATTCTTTATTGCTGATTAAGTAGCATTATGAAAATACTGACTTGGTTATGTTAACTAAATGCCTCCATGTTTAAAACTTCGAATGTCAAGCAGTTTTTAGCAGTCATCTTTAACATTTCACATTACCTTTCTGGAATCCCATTTCTGGTTCTCACTTGCTGTTATTTGAGGTTAATATAAAAATGGCAGCTTTCATTTGTGGAGTTAGGTGTAGCCAAAAGCTTTTCTTTAATTATATCCATTCATGCTGCTATAGTTAAGGGTCTGTCAGCATTTCCATTATAAACCTCCATTTTCAGGGTTTTATAACACAGCTATGAAAATTAGCTCTGGGCAAAAACTTGACATACAAGGCCTCATGAGATTCTCCCTCCTCCCATCCCCCTTTTTCATTTTTACTGAAGTAAGGGTGAGTGATTTCAAAATGCCTTTTGGCATCTGCAAATATCATTTGCAGTTTAAAAAGAAACAATAAATTTTCAGGCTTTGTACCTGTTTGTTCTACCACTTAAGGGAGGTTGTGGACTTATGAATTTAAGCCAAATGGATATTGATCAACTGACATCCTATTTTGTATTAAACAAGAGCCTGGTTGCAGAAGAGGTCTAAAGGCAGTTGAAAACTTGTCTCAAATGTTAAATTTTGAGACTACGAAATAATTCAGAAGGGACCGTTAGTTTCTTTTTGATATTCTGTGTGCTGAGTACAACTCCTTAAAAGATTAAGCCTCTGTTTTCCTGGCTTCAAAATACATTTTGAGAATACATATATTTTTAAACCCTTTTTCTTCTTTTCCAGTGAGCCTAGAAGTTCATCTGTGTATTATATATCAATTTTGACATTTGGGATTGGGTGGGGTTGGGGGGGGGAGTTGCGTATGCACGTGCATAGAACTGTGTTTATTATTCCCCTCAAATGTTTTTCTTGCTCAGTAGTTCTAGTTATTTTAACTTTTATTAGTGTGGTATCATTTATTCTAAACAATTTTTTTTTTAATCTGTGAGAGAATTGGGGTTGTCTAGGTAGGGAAGGAAGAAGTACAAGAGGAAATG